TTGTTTTCCATATTTGTTGGCATACTCTTGTTAGAATTTTTACAGATTCAGTCAGTGGCTTGAAATAGTTCTATTTGTATTTCATCTATGGTGATTTATTTTTCCTATTGTTTTCAGAGCTGCTTTCACTTCACTTTCTAGAACTGCAGGTTCTTCATCATGTGATTCCTTGTCAAAGGGGTCTGTCATCCTTTTATCTCTTCTGTATAGGTCTTCAGTATACTGTCTCCGCATTCTTTTTATTTTCTCCTGGTCATATAGTGCACTTCTCTAGATAGAGGCTTGCATTCAGGGAGCACTGCCTACTATTTTTTTCCCCTCCAGGCAGGATAGGTTTTGTTACTCTTCTACAATTTAAGCTGATCATAAAAGGATTCAGTTGCCATTTTCATTACATAAACATTTTTAAAGAATTACTAATCATCTTACTAACTAACACAGCAGCAAAACCTTGGCACTACATCACAACACTTTTTGAAATAAAATTACAAGAGTGACAATGCAAAAATGAGATGTGCAAACTCAGTTAAACATAACACAATTCTTTTAAATAGCTCACTAATACTTCAGTTCACAGTCCAACAATCCAAATACTCACCAGTCACACTCTGTAAACTGACTACAGCTCAAGAAGCCCTCTTTCTGTAATAGCAAGCATGCAGCTGAAATAACAGGCTCCACATGAATTAGGGTGATTGTATGGAGCGCAGTATATCCATAGTTGCTCCCCCAGCTACCAGTAACAGAACATTTTCCCTTACATGTTATGAATCTCTAAACTCCAGGGGAGCAAAGTGTGCCTCCCCAAGTGTTGCTGAGTCTGGAACTCCTAGCATTTTCCAGCATGGCTATGCTAGTGACTGCTGATGGAAGCTTCATGCCAACAACATCTGGAGGGCAAACATTTGCCCATCCCATCTAGACAGATAGTACTGTATGTTATACTCCAAGATGCACTGCAGTCCTTCTCTATAAAGGAAAGCAGAAGCAGCTGTGGTGTCTGTATGCACTGCAGTATCAACAAGTTCTCTATTATGCATGTCTACCCTTAGGGAAACATACGAACCTTCCATCTTTACAATCAGAGTAGAAATTGCAGTTGCTCCTCATGTTTCTGAACTCCCACTGGGTCTTTTAAGCAGTGTAATGACTGCTTACAGAGGAGCCCCCAAACCCTGCAAATACATTAGTGACATAGCCAATTTGCACCCATGTCATAAATTGGGAATATATTTACAGCTATTGTTTTGTCTCACTTGTCTGTTAATGTGCATCATGATTAGCAATGCAGTTACCATTTAATTCCTTGTGTTTTCTATGGAACTTTCATTCAGAACAAGAATTAGCATTTATGAAGAAAAAGAAGTTCATGTCATTAAATGTCATTATCTATACTGAAAGAGATGCTGCATTAGGCTTAAACAAGAATCTGTTCACAATAACACCCCCCAAATATACACTTGCAGAGGGTATGCACTCCGAATATACACACTGTGCAATAAATACCATATAAAGAACTGTGACTGGAAGAGAACCAAGGAACAAACGAGAAACATATAATTACACTCTCCATGTTAACAGAGAAAGGAAAGGAAAACATCATATTTGCTACTTCAAATTACTTCTTTCTCCAGATGAAACTCACAATCTAGAATATGTTCACTTGGAAATTACTTCTATTCATATCTATAGAACCTACCACTAAGGAAGAACTAGACCTGCATTGTAATAAAAGAAGTCTGTTTGTGTAATTTATAACACACAACCTAACTGTAGCAGACCACCTCAGTGTATGCCAACAGATGGAATGCTATTGTCCAAAATGGAACTCAGGGATCCAGAGGTAAGCAAAAAACCAACAAGCTCTGTTTGCCTAAACCAGTGTTCTCTTTCACATTTTGTGCCATGTGATCAAAACGGCACAGAAAAGCTCTAATCAAGCCAACCAATCCCAAATAAACCCGGAAGATTCTACACTGAGCTACATTCTGTACAATATTCCGGTCCACTGAGATTTATTCGCTGTTAAAGGAAACCATGTAAAGGTATACGTACTGTACTACCAATGCATGAAGAATTAGGGTTGCCAGATACATGGGTACCAAAAGGAGGACAAAGAAAGACAAAAAAAGGACAGAGGAGGACATACTGAATGTTTCATTTGAATCGTTCTGGATTAAGCCCGCGATCAATACAATTTTATTACAATAGCTGCCAATAAATAAATGGCTCTTAGCGAACCGACCAAGAAACAATCATGTTAAAAAATAAAACTAAATTCAATGGAGGCTTTTTTTTTCAAAATAGCAAAAAACATTATTTAAACAGCCAATTGTACAATTATTACCTTATAATCTTTATTAATTACACAACATATTTCTCAGAGGAGCCAACTTTTCACAAAAGATCTTCATTAGCAATCACATATGTATAAAACTGTTCACAGGTAATATTCTTCAAATTGTACTTCCAACTGGGAGCAAAGCAAATAAACCCAAACCCAACCCATCCTGGCTGTGGGATTCCCCCGGCCGCTCACACTCTGCACAGGCTCAGAGGCAACCTTGCTAATCTGGATGCCCAAACAAGGCTCCTGCACAGGCAGGGAGAAAGTGGCGCCAAGCAAAGACGAATGAGGAAGCCTCCCCTCCCTCGAGGGTCATAAGTTCAAGGCTGGGGAGTGTGGGAGTTGGAGTCCCCGAAAGGGACTTTGAACAGACAGGTGGCACTTCGTTCGCGCTGCCTTTCTGGGCTCCACGTGGGCTGGGCGGGCATGGCGGATTGCAGAGCAGCTGCGGCGGCGAGGGCTGCGCTCTGGCGCTGGCGGTAGGTAACGGGGGGCAGGGGCGACTGGGAAAGATGGGAGGTCCTTCCACCTCTCCCCCTCTCATCCAAAATTATAACATAAAATATACAAAAACCAGACATTTTAACGGTTTTCATCTTTGCCTGCTGGATGGAGGACATTGCCTGATATTTGGTTGTCTTTACATGCACATAAAATATAAGCTGTACGTCAATCACCTCCCCCAGTCACATGAATGGTAGGAAAGAGCCACACCCTCCTGGGTATAGAAGACGTTGGGAGTCATAATATTGTTGCCTGTTAAGATTCTATAAATGAGCCTCCCAAAGAACTATGGCTCCTAGGAAGCACTGCTGCAGCCTTCTTACTCTTTTTTACATTTACAACAAAAGGCAGGAGCGTGGTAGCATTGGAGATAAATAACCCTAATGCCCTTCTCTAGCAGGGTGAAATCTAGAGGTCTGCAGACTTACGTTTGTGGAGCTACAGCTCCCCAAATTCTGTCTGTGGAATTCTTGGAGAATTCGGGGAACTGCAGTCCAAAAACACAAAATAGCATCACCACCCCAATAGTAATCAGGGATTCTGTCTGTAGGATATCACAAGAAGAAAGAAAGAAAATTAAAAGAAAGAAGAAGAAAGATGGAAGGATACCAGAAGCATTCACTAAAGGCACCTCCTTACACCAGCTGGTCAGAAAAGGGCCAGAAGAGTCGAATTAATGATTCCTAATCTCCTACGAAAGCTTTTGGTTTGCATCACAAGTAATGGTGTCTGGGAAATGCAGATGCTCATAAATGGCAGTCCCCATCGCCAGTTAGCACCACCCCTCCCATGCCCAAACTCGGAAACTGCAGAAACGCAGGCTAGATTAGTCCATATAATATATGAGAAACTGGTGTTTTGTAATGCTTATAGCCCTAAGTGCCCATTCAAGATTTTACCATGCTCAAATACTTTGCATTACAACACAGATTGCTTGCAACAATATATTACTCCTGAGGAAATCCATTTGTTTACCAGTCCCTGTAAAGATTGCACACAAGCTTGGACGGAACATGGAATCTGGGAGGGGGTGGATGATCATGTCATATTCTCTGCTACAAACTGTGGCTCCAGGACACCATGGGTCCAAGGAGGCATAAACCAGGAAGCACTGCTGAGAACTGAATGCAAATACTGTAATTCAGTGGGCTCAGGATATCCTGCCCAACTGTTCAATTCAAAGTAACCTTTATTGGCATAGAGAAGTTAAAAGCATACAGATAGAAAAGTTAATAAAAATAATAATAAATAGACATAAGCATAATAGTTACACAACTAGAGATGTAAGAAATGTAACAAAGAACACGACAGGAGATGCTTAGGACAGTCTGGTTAATTTTTAGAAACCTGGAAGGAGAGAACCTTTGCAAGGAACTCGGCTACTGAAGTCTTTTCTTGTGAGAGGTCATGGAGAAGGAAACCTGTGAGAAGCTGCCCAACTGTTCAGTATTCTATTCAAGGGATAGCTGATAATTTCCTTTGGCTGGCAACTTTTCAAAATTTTAAAATTCCTCCGTAATTCTGGCAGAAAGAACTATGGCTTTTAAACATTCAAGTGTAAAAAGAACCAAAAGTGATACATTTGTTCATGCAGGTGTTGGGCCTTGAATGACCATTACTTCTTAAAAGCCTGGCTGACAACTCCTGCGTACAGCAGGAAGTTTTTCTGTGTTGCTCAATTGTGGTTACTACCTCTCTTTTTCTGACAGACTTTTCATCTTTCAGCAGTTACAATGCAAGAAAGGACTATATGATCCTCTTCATACCAGGTACTGCTGTTGAATTTAGTTAGCAGGCACAGGTAAGAATTCAGTAGGGCCATTTTTCATCAGACCTTAAAAATCCTCAAATTTCTTCAAACATTGAACGGAAAGAATTTCAGACTTCAAAAAATTCAAACATAGAAAAAAAGTAGAACTGACAGATTAATCCTTTCTGACTTTTTTGTATGCCAATCAAGGTTTCTCTGTGCATGAATTATACAAGTCGACAGATTTCTACATAGTCTAATTGCCCTGAATGTTGCTTTCAAGTAAAACTCCACTGAAATAAATGAAGAAAAGTTGCACAAGAGCCATGCTGACTCCAGCGCCATATTCACAGCACTGCAAATTACATTTTTACACCTGAAAAATAAAGACATCATTACCTGTCATTATCCTCTGAGCTTCATATGGTTCCATATAGCCAGTGTTTTCTCCCTTGCCTGTTTTGCTGCCCTCACTTTTGGCATCAAATGGGTCAGAGTAGTCATCAGCTATTAGCACCTGAAGAAGAAATAAGAAATAAGAAAGAACCGTTACTATATGGACTTATTTTGAACAGATCTAGCTAGTTATTTAAAACATGCAGAACATCACATGTCCTGAACCAGCCAGTGTGTCTCTTTTCTTCTAATGGACTCTTAAAAGGAGTCTTCAGTCAAGTAAGAACAGATATTTTATTGCTATCCTTACTCAGGGCCTTCATTTCCATTTGTTTTGCCCTATTATGGCTCTCCAAGGAACCTAGTTCTCGAGCATCTGGCCCTTTTTGACCACCCCATACAGCCACTTACCGAAAAAGCAGAACAGTACTAACCTCAGCCACATTTACAACGGATGCAAGAGTCTAGATAAATTGGACCAGAATTGACTGTTGATAAACAGTCTTTAGTAAACAGAAAGTTCCACTGAAAAGTTCAGAGTACAGTACTGATTATAGCATGAGTTTTTGTAAATTACACCCTATTTCACTAGATGAATCTTTTGATTCTTTAAAACAAGGCAAACCAGAACTTTACAATATGATTTTAGAAATGTGATGGTGGAATGCACCAGTGAAAGCAAGAAGAAACATTTTGACCAAATAATAAATTAGATTCAGTTCTGATTCACATACAATTGAACACATTCGCACAGAAATCATTTGAATAAATTCAATCTTAAACATAAAAATTCTAATTCATGCTTAGCCACTAGAGTAGTCTAGGCAACAGATTTAAATCTGAAAATGTTCCAGATTATTTCCCATCAGACACAGCTGGCTAATCCTACAAGCTGTCACATATAGCTTTTTTAGAGGTTAGCCAAGAGCAATGGCTTTTAGAACAAGGGCAATCAGAAGGCACATCAAGATACATTGAATGAGAGGGTTTCTGGCCTCAACTGGTTGACTACAACACCAGAAAGGGCTACTCATCCCTTCTTGTTAAAAAGAACTTTTTATCCACATCAGTCCAGTGTTTGGTTTGTCGCAGAGCAGGAGATAATTGGTTCTGCTCCCTGAGCCATTTTGCATCTGACTTGGATTGGGAGACTTTGATATTCACGTATTAGACGTCAAGGCCCAAATACATTGTAGAGAATAATAAGGTTCTCAATGTGATTTTCAAGGACACCCGCTTTAGAAGATCAGCAGAAGGTGACAAGTTCCTTTGCTGACTATGCTTCCCTCAACACACAGCACCAGGGATTGGGGGACAGATGTGTTCTATACATACACTTACTTCACATCAGGAGGTGATGGGATGCTAAACAAGCCTGGTCAATGTTCCCTATCCATGGTCAAGAGTTTTCGAGTGGGACTTGGGAGATCCAGGTTCAGTTTCCCAATGAGCCATGAAACTCACTGGTTGACCCTGAGCCAGTCGCTCTCTTCCTTAGCCTGGCCGACCTCATAGGTCTTTGATGATAGTGCAGAGGAGGGCAGGCATGTACTTTGTCACTGGCAGAATACTGTATAAATGCCAGTAACAAACAAAAGGAAATAAATCTTCTGTAATGTAGAGCATGGCCGCAGCAGATACATAGGCGCTCCTTAGCTGGTATGGAAAGACCCTCCCAAAGAGACAAGATCTGGAAAACACTGACTTAGGCAACCGAGTTTTGAAAGTGAGATTCTTTCACCTGGTGAGATGAGAAAGCATAACGTCCTGGGAGGTCGTGAAAGAAAAAACAAGGCATGGATAAAGCTATGGTTGGTAGGCCTTTATCTGATCCTGCCAGACACTTTTTTTTACCATTCTTAAGAGCTTTTGCAACTCCTCCTTACTGGTACAGGATGACAATTCCAGAGTAATTACTATTTCATCTTCAGATTTTTTTTATTATTATTATTTTGGACCACTCAAGTGTAAGCTAACTCTGTCCATCATTTGAGGTATAATTTAAGGCATATTCAAGGGCTTCATTAAATGCAAATAGCTAAAGATGACAAGTGAAAAATGAAGCTGGTAGGGAGGCATCTCCCCTCACTTTCCACCCACTCTCACTAAATATGCGTAATGAATGGCTTGTTATTACAGCTCTAATGGTTCACTCAGAAAGAGAGAGAAAGAGAGAGAGAATGAGCTGCATAGTATCTTCTGCTTAATGTAGGCCCAAGCTGTAATCAGCAGCCCTGTCAGAGCAGTGTCAGAGGCTTGGGGGTGCTTAGCTCAAAGACAACAGTGTGCATCAGGCAGGAGTAATTTCTCCTCCTAACAAGGACAGGTTTTATCTGCAAAAGCCCTGCAGCTGAAACACCATCCATTTACTTCTCTGATGATGCCCTGTCAGCTGCTGATAGATAAGTATCTCGGGTGCCCCGCTGTTCCCCCCCATATAGGGTCTGACACCATAATAGTTGCCTTTCTCTAAAAATAACAGCACTAAAATGACATGAGACTAGGGTGGGAGGGCCGGAGGAAAAGAAAATATGAGCAAAAAAAGCCTAAGATGAGTAATGTATTTTTTTATTTCTCCTTTCCCATTTGCAAGAAAATGAGAAAGTAAATTAAACATGTAGAAATCTGTCAAACAGAATAATATCAAATGCTGATTTCATTTAAGCACATATGTAATGTATTCCAGGCCTAATGCAATGTTAGTCATTCGCATGGATTTGGTTTTATTTAAAAAAAAAGAAAAGAAACAATTTGTCTTTTTAAATTACAGGCAGAAAGTACCACACAAGCTTCCTGTATCTGGATCAGGCTTGAAAATGTCAAAACGTCTTCAAACAAATCAGGAAAGAAAGCACTTTAAACTTAATGAGAGTTTGTTCTTTTGTCCCTTTCAGGGACACTCAATAGGATGGGCACAGTTGGCAATTAACAAAACAAAAGTGGGTTAGCAATGTACTGGAAGAGTCCTTTGCAAGTGTACTGTATGTATGGTGCTTACGTCCTGCACAATCAAGAAATGGTGCACAACCCTACACCCATAAAAAAGGAAGATTCGGAGCAGCTCCCATGCACCGGCTGTCACAAAGCCATTGTCAAGCCTCAAGTGTCTCTGGCCATCAAATGACAGCTGGGCTCCAAGCAAGGTCAAAGCTTGGGTACCTTGATTCAGGGTAAAAGTGTAAACCAAGCTCAGATACAGTTGGGTGCACTGTATTAACAGTCAGTGTAATGCCTCTGGCAGATCCCTGAAGTCAAGTTTTTGAACCTTGCTACAGACCAAGCAATAGAAATATGTCATGCTGCATGGCTTCTTGTTTTCTGCAGGAGAGATCGGCACACTTAGAAACTGCAGAAGTGCTGGTGGTGCAGTGCTTTAAAAAACAACAACAAAGAGACTTCAGCCAGACTAAAATTGCCCAGCTTATTCATATCCGTGCCCAGAACTACTAGAGAAGGAAATAAAGTTTATACTAGAGTCTGTGGATCTTTCTCTTCATGATACCCTGGGGACTAAGTCCAGCACCTCTACATACCCTACTATTCTGCAATGCATGATAACTGTTCAGTGATTCAAGTGCTAATATAGCACTCTTTTCATGTACTCAAGAAAGGATGTCTCTCTTCTTTTGAAAAATCCACTTGAACTTTCATTTAAAAAGTGAAAAAGAAAAGAAAACAGTTTCTAAAAGAATAGTAAAAGGACTATATGGAGGGAAAACTGTGTCACTCACAGGTGACATCCAATCAGTACTATGTATAGCTGACCTTTACTGCAAGGGGTAGAATTAATATTCCCAAATACGTTACATTCCTGGAAATCAAATTGTACATTTGAATCCAACACAGCAAATACAGTCACCCAGTGGCCCAAGTTCTGTAGCATCCTATACAGACTTATTACAATGTGATTAGAACTGTGAACTGTTGTACATCAGTTACTGCTTGTAGCTAACAGTGTGTCTACAAATATGATGACCTTGGAGAAACCAAACCACACTGCTTGGCTTTTGTCCTACAATCTCAGAGAAAAGTTAGTGTGGTCGTGTGGGTGGGAACAGAAAACCCAAGCAGCTACGATGTTTGTCTAAAATGAAATTAATGAAAATTAATAGCAGCAATAAAATACAAATGTTAGTTTTGAAACGTATTCATTCCACAAGATGGGTTGGCATGTGCTCTAGGAGACAGTGAGAATAAAAGGATGCACACATATTTGTATATGCTGCAGATAATACAAATACATATGTACTAGACATGGGCACTTTGTATTCGTAGTTAGGGATACAAAATACAACCCGCAGCAGCTGTGGTCCAATTTCCCACCTCCACAACTGACAGGCCAACCCACTGGGCTCCACGTAGCGCTTGGGTCATTCTTTGGTGGCAGCGTGTCAATCCTGGCAGAAGTCTGGCCAGTTCCTCCCTGGCTCCCTGCACAGCCAACTCGTTCGGTGTGGAGGCAAGAAGGATAGTCTCCATGCTCAGTGGACAAGTGGTCAGCTGCACAGGGAGGTCGGGAACGGCCACCTGGGCTTCTGCTCGGATTGGCACGCTGCCACTGAAGAAGGACCTGAGTGCCATGCGGAGACTGGCGAGTGAATCAGCCGGTTCTGGGGGCGAGAATTGGGCCACCATGGCACTCTATGTCAAATCCTTAGATAGGAATACGAAGTGCCTGCGTCTAATACGCACTAAGACTCATGTAGACCTGGAGACAGTAGCTCCAAGCCTTCATCTATTTCTTTGCTATCAAAGGATAGTATTAAACAAATTAAAAAGGTGGGCAACTACCTAGAAGATAGTTTTACTGGTTCCAGATTATGTTTGATTCTATTTGACAGCAGTCAAACAAGGGGCTACTAAAGGACCAGTCTATTGACAGTACAGGAATGGTCAAATGATTGCTGGGGCCCCAACCACTGAACAAAATGAATAATGTTTGTGGACATCATAAATTCATGCAACTGGACCTTTTGCTTGTCATCATAGATCAAGGAGTTTCCAAGTCTAGCCAGCCAGCCAGCTAGCATCTATGTTTCAAACAGCACTGTCTGTCTATAGCCAGAGGAATGATTAAACAGTTGGAGCAGTAGGTGGTTCTGAAAACATCCATCATAAATT